ATAAGCCTGTATGACATTAGATATTAAAGAACTCAGTCCTTCATTAAAGGAGTAAGGAAATGTGTTTGTGTTCTGTAACTTGGTTCTTTTTATATTGTGATTTACCCCTGTTGCAAGTGTAGTTCATTTTATATATAATTGAAGCTTCAAGAGAGTTCTGAAACAAATTCAGCCCAGGTCACTTGGTACAACATCCAAACGACAGAACTACTGAAAGAACAAAGACCCCATTTACAATTAAAAATTTCTAGAAATAAAAGTGCAGAGAAATCATGGTTCTGGTCTTAGAGTGAGAAAGATCAGGATGTCAAGATCAATAATACACATTTGGAAATTAATACTGGATAAAAATACTTGAGATGGTGAGGGAAGAGAAAGTTAACTACTTTGGTGGGATAATGGATAGTCAGATGGAAGAAGTTTTATGCCTTCCACCAGAAAAATTTAAGTTGGAAAGGGGAAATGAAGCCCATAAGTACTAGAAACTTTAAGAAGAAAATAATTGGAGTAGAGATCATTCTGACTCCAAACCGTAGAAGAAACGATACATTCGACTAAGGGGGGAAAGAAGTTGCAGGCTAATAAAACTAAGTTGAGGAAAAGACATGGCAGGGGGAGTTTGTAGGACCGCAACTTGTCACCGTTCAAAAGGCTAACATCTAAAGCTAGTAGAGAAAGACTAAAGTGCATGAAGGATGTGAAGTTAACTGGGAAAGAAATACACATAGTTGTTAAATATGAAAAGGTCCTGAACCACTTTGAAATGCATATTAAAAAGATATTTTTTGGCCTGATTTTTTTAAACCTATCGTAAATTTGAAAAGTGTTGGCAAGAGTTTGAGGAAATTGTCATTGTAGTAGGGTGTGTGAGTCACTATAACCTTGAGCTTAATTTAACAAAATGACAATCTAATTCAAAATTCCACTTTTGGAAAATTTAACATACTTGATGTGCAGATGACTTTCAGAGATCATTATGCAACAGTGTTTGAAAAAAAGATAAAAATGACTTAATGTTCAGTAGAGGCAGAGTTGAATGATTGTTATGAAAGAATACGGCCATAGCAAATATGAGATATGGAAATACGGAATATGGAAAAACCTTCAAGGGCTACCATTAAGGGGAAAAAGGCAGATGTGGATCACATGACATACTACCTTATTTGTGTGTTAAGAAATAAAATATCTAGGAAAGGTGATAATGAAATGGAGCATTGGAGCATTGGCTGCTTCCATGGGGATTTGAAGGTTGGACCATTACACAAAAAAATGTAATTAAAAAATGCAAGAAGATAATTTCCGGTGGAAGGGATAGGAATTTTGCACAGCATTACAGCTTCCTTTTCCACGTCTCAAATTCTTGAGATGATTTTCAGATTCTTGCAGTCCATTTGTTGTGACAGTAGTGACTTAGTTTTACTTTTTCCCAGGAGGAGGAACATGTGCCATGTGGCTAAAAGCCCCAATGCCTAAGATGAGATATAAACCATCTGGAAGAATCATGTGGTCCTGATCAGGGTAAAGTAGCTATCAACTATCATTAGTTTTTTTTGTTTTTTGTTTTTTTTTAATGACACTTTACAACTAAGACCTCAACTCAGGGAAAAACAAAACGAAACAACGGTCCTTTAATGAAGATGTTGCTTTTTTCTTTTTGAAAAAAAATTTCTTTTTAATGTTTATTTTTTTTAACGTTTATTTATTTTTGAGACAGAGACAGAGCATGAACAGGGGAGGGGCAGAGAGAGAGGGAGACACAGAATCTGAAACAGGCTCCAGGCTTGGAGCTGTCAGCACAGAGCCCGATGCGGGGCTCGAACCCACGAACCGTGAGATCATGACCTGAGCCGAAGTCGGACGCTTCAGCGACTGAGCCACCCAGGCGCCCCAGATGTTGCTTTGTTCTTAGTTTTTCACATTTCTTCGTGACGTGGGCGAATGCTTGTTCCAAGTCAGCATTGGTAATACAACGTAATGATATATAACTAATCTGCCCTTCTACCAAAGCTACTAGCATCCTGTCGATAGGAGAGTTTTCAGAGTTCTTACATTGAAGTCATGTACTTGCATCTGCTTCCATTGCCTTCAGTAAAAATATTGCTGAAGCTTCTCTGTTCTCGGAGATTCATAACATTTTGCATTTCTATTGTGATATAAATGACATGGGTTTTCAAGGTTTAAAGGAAAACTTCGATTTGTGTGCTCTCACAAGTATGCGTTTCAATAGTGTAAGATCCCTTTTTCTTCACCATAATCCTGTGTACGTTACTAACTTCTCTGTGCTTCCATTCGTTTTTAGTTTAAAATGAGGAAGGTGATAACCATCCCTACCTCACAGGGTTGTCACAAGGTTTGAATAATGTTCAGTTAAGTGTTAGCTGCTATTGTTAGGGGGGTCTGGCTGGCTCAGTCGGTAGAGTATGTGACTTGATCTCAAGGCTAGGAGTTCAAGCCCCATGGTGGGTGTAGAGATTACTATTAAAAAAAAAAAAAAGAAGAAAGAAAAGAAATACAGCGATCAGTAAGTGTTTGCTGCCATTGGTTTTGTTAACATGTCAGGTAAAGGGTAATAGATGGGGCCAAAATGATTTCAGGGAGAAAGCCTGAAAGCTTCACGTGTTCTTCAGACGTCACATGGATTGCATTTGAGCCTTTTGTTGCAATTTGGTGTCTACTAAAACTACTAGGTCATGGAGGTTAGAGAAGCAATCTTTTGAGAACTCAGTTTAGCAAGCAATCTAGTAAGATTTGGCAAATTTAGGAGGATCTTAATGCTGTTGCAATTTGAGAATAATCTGTCAGGGAAGATTGTTGTGAATGGATTATGGACAAAATAAGACACTGTTATTGGCTAGTCATTTGAGTAGCAATATTAATGCGAAGAACTAATGCTCAGGAGAGTTCCAGTATTTAGGAGCTGCTCAACGATTGCTGCAATTTCCCCACCTCACCACAAGATGGCATATATTCCATTGTTTAAATATTTTTCTATCTGCATTTTTCTTCTGTAGTCACTTGGTCTATTTAACAAGCAGAGTAACACTAACAGGTTCTTTTGGATGCAGGCTTGGAATCAGTACTATTTGAATTAAGCTACAATTTGGTGTACTTAGTTGGGAATTTCTGTAGGTAAAACAATTATAACACTAATTCCTTAGTTTATATCCATAAAATAAAATAGAGTGTATCTGGTAATGAATTGTGACTTTTCTAGTAAAAAGTAGAATATAAATTAATGCGAGAAGAAGAAGAATTTTCTATTTTTGCTGGGAGGTGTAATCATTTAATATATACAGTTAAACAGGAGAATTGTAATTTATTTCTAGGATATGTAGCTTAGTACAGTGAAGGTAATATGCAGGGGCGTTGGATTCTTGCTCCACAACTTCTGTCATTAAGCTACGTACCTAACCTCTTTGATCTTTGGCACTTCACAGAGTCATGATTAGGATTATTAATAAATTCTTTTCTAGTGGAATGAATGACAAGGGAGAACATATTCCTTGCTTAGATTCTGTTTTTTGTTTTTTTGTTGTTTTTTTTTAAATACTTTTTGTTTTTGAGAGAGCTCAAGGGAGGGAGGGACAAAGAGAGAGATGACAGAGGATCCGAAGCGGGCTCTGCGCTGAGAGCAGCAAGCCTGATGTGAGGCTCCAACTCACAAACTAGCAGTTTATGACCTGGGCCGAAGTCAGACGCTCAACTGACTGAGCCACCCAGGCGCCCCAGTTAGATTGTGTTATTGATAGAGCTCTGAACTCGTAAAAAAAAAAAAATTTGGCGGGCTCACCTTGAGACAAGTGGTATGTGTGTAGGGGTGAGTTTAACAGTTATGATTGAAATCTAAAACTAATCCCTTTGGGTTGTGACGCTTCCAGCTTCTCTTGTGTATCATCCAACAAATTACCTTTTTTTGTTTCTTCGGAAATCAGCATTTCAAGGGTGACCTCCAGTCATGCGGTCTATACTCACTAGGCTGATGTACAGGTAAAACTTCAATGAACAGGCAAGTATAGACAGGCATTCCTAAGTTAAAAGAGAAAACATTATCACAATTGCGTCTGCTTAACAGATACCAACAAAAGGTCGTCATGGTCGGGCAACCAATAAGCTGAATGTTTGATTTGAAGGGACAAGAATTTCTCCTTTTGCCTTTTTCACCTGCACTTGTACTATATCTTTCAATGGGAAAAGCACTTGAAAAATCTCATTGTTCTGCAGGATAGCAGGAAAGTTTCAATTTTGTTGCCTTTGACCAGATTTCAGGTGAGATCGACATGCTTGAGGGCACGCTCGTGTGCTCCGGGGGTGGGTACGAGCCTTCCAGATGCAAGAATGGGAGCACTAATCTCATCAGCATTTCAGAAGTTAGACTCTTCTAACTGGGCTGGATTTCTCATTTCCATAGGATCTGCCTGCAGTGGACATACAGTATTTTTCAGGAAAAGATTTTCTCTATGATCCACAGTCCAAACCATTATTGGCTATTATGCTCCCTATCAACCAAATGCAAAAGAAACTTCTTTTTGGTGCACTGAAAGGAGATACTCTTTTCAGCCGCATTTATTTGTGTAGTTTAATGTTTACATGTAATAAACTTAGGTATAATTTCTATGCTATTCCCTTAAATGGTGAATACCCTTTCAAAATCTGTTTTAAAATCAAATTAACATAAATCTTTAAGCACATAATAAAGCTCTTTTATCATCCTATTTCTAGAGTTAAGCAGAAAACTCTATAAGCTCATTTACTTCAGATCGATTTATGACCATGGTGGGCATAAATCTGATTTCCCATATACGCATGCTGGACCCTAATGGTTATGTAAGGTAAGCAGCCTTATCTTTTTTTTTTTTTTTTTTTTTAACGTTTTTATTTTTGAGACAGAGAGAGACAGAGCATGAACGGGGGAGGGGCAGAGAGAGAAGGAGACACAGAATCAGAAGCAGGCTCCACGCTCCGAGCCATCAGCCCAGAGCCCGATGCAGGACTCGAACTCACGGACCGTGAGATCGTGACCTGAGCCAAAGTCGGATGCTTAACCGAATGAGCCACCCAGGTGCCCCTAAGCAGCCTTATCTTAAACTTGCTTGGGCTTCTTACCCGACTTCCTCAAAACACCATCATCACGTAGAGTAGCAACAGACAAAGAGCCGTGGCCTGGAAATCATAAATATGAAGTTAGTCCCAGCCTTTGCACTGTATAGTTCTGCTTTGGCCAAGTCACTTCAATTGTCTATGCCTCAGTTTACTCATCTGTAAACCTGGGTAGGTAACAGCTGGCAAATAACCATGCTTTTCCACCATGTCCTCTCTGTTACCTGTGGCAGATATCACAAACTGATAAGTGCTTTGCTGGCCTAAAAATTCTTCTCCACACAGAAAAACCCTACAATGAATCAGAGTTGGCATTAAAGATGAAACATTTTTGCCGTTCCTGTGCTGTGAGATGTTTAAAGCCCAAAGTCAACAGAGCGAGTCTTCATGTCTTTATGCATAAGCATGGAATATATTTCTTGGTTGTCGAATATGATATATTAGAAATTATTTTTACTGTCAATATTTTCCTCATAGCTAAACATTTGCCCATAGAGATTCATTTTTAAAATTTTAAATCAGTTCATTATACCAAGAAGTGCTATTGGAAAACTATAAAGGTCACAGAGACCAGAGTTTCCCTGCGTCAGAGTCAAATCAGGAAAGAGAAACCGTACTGTAATGTGAATGTGAAATTTTAATAACAATCATTAATTATAATAGGATTAGAGTATTGAGGGATTGCCTAGTAAAAATGAAGAGAATAAATTTTTAAAAACCACAGGAATAACATGTAAGGAGCAGCCACTACCCCTAGGGCTGTGAGCGTACCCAAAGAAGAGCCCAACTCCCCCACCCAAGCTTCTGGAGAGGGCACACTGATGGCTCACTGGATGGCACAGAAGTCACTGGGGGACCGCATTGGTGGAACTTGCTGGAAATCCACCCTCTAACCCTTGCCCGAAATCCTGTCTCCAGGGGGCTGGGGAAAGCTACTCCTAGAAAGGTGTCTTGTGGAAGGGACTCAGCCATTAAACTGCTTGAGCTGCCTGATGGGGTACAGGTGAGACTCCGGCTGCTGGACGCTGCCGATCACCCTACAGTGGGGCCAAGAGCTAGGGAAGCTGCCCATGCTCCAGGCAGTAGGCGCCAGGGAAGCCGTGGACCTGCGGCGACCTGCTAAGAGCACGCCACGACCGGAGGAGCCACTTCGCCCTCTGGCACCCTCTACTGACAGCTTAATATCGTGGCAGCTGGCAAAACAGAAACAGTTAAAAGATCGAACTCCCACGCCGCGGTGCAGGCAACGGAAGATGGGTTTGCAGCCGAGAGGCAAACTGATAACTGGTCTGTTCCTCTTTCCAAAGGACTCTTTGGTGTTAGCTGTTGTGTGCAACGGAGAAGTAAATTCTCAACCCTTCTCTCTGTGGACTTAGCTTGGCTAGGCTTGGGTCACTTCTGCCTTGCCCTTAGAGGTAAATCCTTTTTTTTTTCTTTCTGCACAACTACCTAACACGTCTCTCAGCCACTGACACCACCAGTTGATTTCCTCTTCGCTGCCTTTTGACCCTTTGCTGGTAATTGCCTAACAGAATTCCTGTGACTAGGAGTATCGAGTGTAAGTGAAGGTAAAAATAATGAAGCTGTCTAGTCTTGGGGTATGAGCACTAGGAGGATAAACTTACTGAATGTTGAGTTTTACTCCAGACAACATAGGGAACTCTAAAACAACACTTGTTTGAGACACTTGCTGAAGCCAGATGGCATTGGAGCAAACCGTGTCTGTGCTTTAGTGAAGCTATATAAGGTAGTCTAAAGGCCACTGAAACTGGGCTCCACCATTTGCTATCTTTGTTTTGGACAAGTTTCCTAAACTCTCTGAGCCTCAGTTTCATCATCTACAAAATGAGGATGATCTCAATTTCAGATAGATCCAAAGATGAAATGAGAAACGACTTTATCTCTGGCCCTTCCCAAAGCTGTACGAGTATATTAACAAGAAGCAAAAATAAATCCAGAAGGAGAATGTAAGAGGATACAACAGCATGAAAGGGAAGTGATCGTTTTGGAAAGTCATAGGCAGGCGGTAACTGGAACTTACTCTTGCAATGATAAAAAGTCAGGAACCAGTCAGTTTCCTGCCAGAACTTGGAAAAGGCTTAGAACGGGATGCCTCACTGAAGGCTGCAGTGCTGACGGGAGGTGAAAACGGGAAGACTGGCTGATGTCTTTAAGAGGAGCTATTAGGGGCGCCTGGGTGGCGCAGTCGGTTAAGCGTCCGACTTCAGCCAGGTCACGATCTCGCGGTCCGTGAGTTCGAGCCCCCCGTCGGGCTCTGGGCTGATGGCTCAGAGCCTGGAGCCTGTTTCCGATTCTGTGTCTCCCTCTCTCTCTGCCCCTCCCCCGTTCATGCTCTGTCTCTCTCTGTCCCAAAAATAAATAAACATTGAAAAAATAATAATAAAAAATAAATAAATAAAATTAAGAGGAGCTATTAGATCCCTAAATACCATTCCCTACCCTGAGAAGCCTGGCAGACACCCTTCTGCCCCAATTAGGAGAGATTTGCCTTCTGCAGAAATTGAACCAGATTGGTTCTGGGCTCAGAGACATAGAAGACGAGATGACATATTGAGAAAATGAGCCTTCATACCCAACTGTGAGATTCTACTGAGTGTAGGTCTCATTGTGAACTCATAATTCTTTTTCTTTTTTTTAAGATTTGATTTTTAAGTAATCTCTACACCCAACATAGGGCTCAAACACACAACCCCAAGATCAAGAGTTGCACACTCCACCAAGTGAGCCAGCCAGGCATTACGTGAACTCATAATTCTCGAGTTCGTTGAGCTTCATGGGTTTGTAGATATATTTAATCAATTTGGGAAATTACTTGGAGAGATCACTAAATTGACAAACTTTTAGCTAAGCTAAGAAAAGCAGGATACATAAATTAACTAAAATCAGCAACGGAAGTGGAGACATTACTACCAAACTTACAGAAATAAAGGTATTCAAGAGAATACTATGAAGAATTGTGTGCCAACAATTTGATAACTTAGATGACATGGCAAAATTCTTAGAAATACACAAATTATCAAAGCTGACTCAAAAAGAGAAAAATCTCAATAGACCTGTTATAAGTAAAGGGATTGAATATTTAAAAAAAAAATTTTAATGTTTATTTATTTTTGAGAGACAGAATGCAAGTGAGTTGGGACAGAGAGAGGGAGAGAGACACAGAATCCGAAGCAGGCTCCAGGCTCCGAGCTGTCAGCACAGAGCCCGATGCAGGGCTCAAACTCAGGAACTGTAAGATCATGACCTGAGCTCAAGTCGGTCGCTCAACCGCCTGAGCCACCTAGGCACCCCAGGGATTGAATCTTTAATTAAAAAAAACAAAAACAAAAACAAAACTCCCAATAAAGAAAAGTCCAGGACCAGATGGCTTCACTGGTGAATTCTATCAATCATTTAAAGGATTAACACCAGTCCTCAAACTCTTGCAAAAAGTAGACGATGAAGGAACACTTCCCAACTCATTTTATGAGGCCAGTCTTTTCCTGGTACCAAAGCCAGATGAAGACACCACCAGAAACAACTGAAGACCCATGTCTCTTATGTATATCTGATATATATTTAAGCCATAAAGAAGAGTGAAATACTGATACATGCTATAGCACAGACAAACCTTGAAAACATTACACCAAGGGGGCCTGAGCTCAGTCAGTTAAACACATGACTCTTGATTTCAGCTCAGGTCATGATCACACGGTTTGCAAGATTGAGCCCCGCACCAGAGCCAACTGACAGTGTGGAGCCTGCCTGGGCTTCTCTCTCCCTCTCCCTCCCTCTCTCTCTCAGTAAATAAATAAATAAACTTTAAAAAATTACACTAAGTTCAAAGAAGCCCGACACAAAATGTCACCTGTTTTATGACTGCAGTTATACAGAATATTCAGAACAGATCAATTCTTAGCAAGAGAATTTAGATTGGCAGTTGCCAGAGGCTAGCACAGAGGGCTAAAATAATAGCTCGTGCCTAATGGGTACAAGATTTCCTTTGGGATGATGAAAACGTTTTGGAACTAGATAGAGGTGGTGGTTGTACAACTGTGGATGCACTGAACGCCACTGAATGGTCACTTTAAAATGGCCGATTTTGTGTTCTATGAATTTCACCTCTAAAATAAATATTTGTGTTTATGTTAGGCCCTCCCCTAACTGATGCTTTTCTGGGGGTGCTGAGAGCATTGGCCCCAAATCTAATCTAATCTGCCTTCCAATATAGGGAAGGAGCTAGACATTCAACAAGCAAGTATGCAGGCAAATACACAGTTACAGTTGTGGTGAGTGTATACAGAGGAAACGAAGGAGTTGTAGGAAGAGAACAGTGAGGGAAATTGAATTAGACTGGGCGGTGGGGGAAAGGGGTGAAGGGAGAGACAGGGTCAGGAAGTTCTACCTGAGGAAATGTCTTTTCAGCGGGATCTGAAGAATCAGAATTAGCCTAGTGGGGAACTGAGTATCGCATACCCCGGACATTGGGAGCAGCACGCCAAGTGTCCCGAGACGAGAGAGAGAGAGAGAGAGCAGTGCCTTTGAGAAAAGGGAAGAGTTGGAACCCACCGATCAAGGCACCAGAAGGAGCTGGAGAGAAGGGCAATTGAACGCTATTGTCAACTGAGAAGGTAGAAACAGGAAGTAACATGACATGATTCACATTTTAAAATGCTGCTGTGTGGTGAACAAATTGTTGAGAGGCAGGAATGAAAGCAGCGAGATCAGTTAGGGGGTGTGACATTTTACGAAACAGCCTGCAAGTTTGTGACATTGCTCCCATTGAGAAGTGGTGTCTCCGTCCTCCCCCTTGGATCCGAGTGGGCTCACGGCTGCTTCAAACAAAATACAACAGAACTGACACCTAGAGGACTCTTAAGGCTGGGTCATAAAAGACCATTCAGATTCTTCCTCATGTTCTAGGGATATGCACTGTGGGGAAACCCAGCTGCCATGTCTGACTGTCCTGTAACTGCCCAGCTCGAGAGGCTTATGTAGACACTTCTGTTGCTAGCCCTAGCTGAACCCAGTCTTCCAGGCACCCTCCACACCCCCAAGGGACCAGAGAGGGGAGTCCAGCTATCTTGGACCCTCTGGCCCAGCCCATGTTCCAATGAATGCCATTCAGCGACTTCAGTTGTTTCCTTGAGGAGCAGAAGAGTGGCCCAGCTCAGCTCTATGGGCACCCCCAGACCCTTCTCAGATTCTGATAGTCTACTTTGAGGCTCCTCCAGATGGGGGCTGGGGGACACACATCGGCCTACCTCACCTGATAGTCTTTTGGATCAATCTCTTCAGAAAGAAGGTGAAGGAAGGGAATAAGATGAGCAAAAAACCAAAATTGGAGTCTCATTGCTGCCACTGTTAGTAGTGCCTGATTTAAGGCACGTTATTTAATCTCATTACTCCTTGGTTACCTAATTCATAAAATGGGGATGATGATACAATGGTGCTGATCTCACGGGTTCGTTGAGAGAATGACAGAAGAGAATGCATACAAAGTGCTCAAAGAGTGCCTGGCATATTTTAAGTGCCTAGTTTATATTACTTATTATTAATGCCTAAATTCTATTCCATAGATCAGAACAAAATTTGGCAAGTGAGACTACTCCGTGGTTTCTGAGTTGGCTTAATTTCTCAATATTATACCAGTGTCAAGATTCACTGTTGCTAGAACTAATACTTTTAAAAATTAAGTATGTCATGATTTGGAAATTTGATATCACAGAAATATATCATGATAGGTTAAAATAACCTTGTCTCCAAACACTTTCCAGGTACAAAAATAAACAACTAGAACTATACATGGGAATGGAAGACCAGAGTTAGTGAATGAAGATATGAAAGTGCTTTGAAAGCAAGCTGGGAGGTTTTGATGACAACCTTTTGGCCATTCGGTATCACCATCCCCAAGGATACCGGCTCCAGAGTACCTTAAATATACATGACAAACACAGCTCAGGAGAAGAAAATGTCCCATCCCTTCTTCTTCTTTGGTCATAAGTGTGGAGACTAATCTTCTTGTGTCATTCTCTCCAAGAGAGAATGGTGCTTGGAAATGTGAATAATGTGTGGAACTGTAAATTTTTATAGTGTTTTTGAGGCTGATTAAAAAAAAAATCATTGGCAAACATAAAAGACTTAGTTCCCAGATATTCATTTTAGTATCGTTTATAGTAACAACCTAAATAGTTAGTTTTGCAAATTTCTGTAAGGAATTATAGTTTATTAACTCACTGGAATATTAACTATTCCATAAACATGATGGTGTAAAACTATATTGTTGACATAGAAATATATTTAGGTATATTAATTCGTGAGGGAAAAGCAGGTTACATTGTTAACATTTTATAACTTTCAGATAACGGAGGGAAAGCTCGAGGTAAAAAAAAAAGTCCCCACAAAGAAGCAAACTTTGAGATTCCCGGTGTTTTATTTTCGACTAGAATCTTAAAGAAATCCAGAAGGACACGTGCTGAAGATATAGAACCTGTTGTGGGGCTGGCCCGATGAAGACTTGCCACAGAACAAAAGGAAATGGCGGGTTACTGACCTGCCCTTCGGAGAGGTTCCAGAGCAATCTTCGGGGATCGCCCTATGGTTAGTCACTCTGAATCTCCCTTAACAAGCTGAAAACCCAGAACAAAGCACAGGATCAAACTCTAAACCTGTGTCTGCCATAGTCTGTTTTGCAAAACACTAGTTCCATGGTATATGCATAGTTAATAAAATAAGAAGCATGTTCCTTTCTCAAATAGTTTGGGGAAGCTTTTAGATTAAATGTTGACAAATGTATTTGCAGGAGCGCCTGACCGGAACCTTGAATGTGAAGCTGTGCTTGGTGATCTCCCAAACAGAGGTACCACGTTCACACTTCTCTAACTAGTGTCCTCGGAGATTCCTCATGGAAAAAAAGTGTCCCATGGTCCATAAAGTAGAGAAATATGTGTCAATGGGCTAGACACCTTCTCATCTTTGAATGTCTTGCTTTTTCATCTCCTGTATTCAGCCCACTGGCATTGATTTGTTTCTTCCATCATGATATTTTTCGAATGTGTCCATTTAAAATCATATATTATTTTATTTTTTTTTAATTTTTTTTAACGTTTATTTATTTTTTTGGGACAGAGAGAGACAGAGCATGAACGGGGGAGGGGCAGAGAGAGAGGGAGACACAGAATCAGAAACAGGCTCCAGGCTCTGAGCCATCAGCCCAGAGCCCGACGCGGGGCTCGAACTCACGGACCGCGAGATCGTGACCTGGCTGAAGTCGGACGCTTAACCAACTGCGCCACCCAGGCGCCCCTAAAATCATATATTATTTTAACATATGCCTGGGTGGCACCTGGCTGGCTGTGGCACCTGTGTGGCTCAGTTGGTTAGGCATCCGACTCCTGATTTAGGATCAGGTCATGATCTCATTCACGATGGTGAGATCGTGCCCCACGTCAGGCTCCATGATGGGCAAGGAGCCTCAAGATTCTCTCTCTCTTCCTCTACCCTTCTCCCCAACCTGCACTCTCTCTCTCTCACAATAAATAAATAAATAAACAAATAAATAAATAAATCATATATTAACATTGAGCTTCTATTAAATACTAGGCATTTAAAAACCTTTATCATTTAGTTTTTGAAAAATTATGGATGCTAATTTCACCACTGCTTTCTAAGTAGAGACACTGAGGTGTAGAGAGATTGGGTACCTTGATCAGGGTCAACGGACTCATAAGTGATTGAGCTTTGATTCAAGTCTTTGAAGTACATGCTTTCCCCAGTAGCACATTTTAATTCTACTTCAATGACCTTCCTTATTTTCACTATGCACCACAGCAACAGCCTCCTTAGTTTGTCTTCCTTCCCGGCGGTCTCTTTCTGCTTCGATCCGCCTAGCCCTGCTGTATTCCTGCTGCCAGGCTAATTTCTCTTACATGCATGTATCCCAAAGATCAAGGGCCCCCAAAGCTCTTATTTGAATCTGGCAGGGGCGGGAGCTGTGAGGGTCCAGTGGCTTCATGGAAGCTTCACCTATGGAAAAAATGTTTCTGCTGCCATTAAAACTTTCAAAGAAAAAAAGATTATAAATTATCAGAAGAAGGTGAGACAGTTAATAAACTTTCTAGAGTATTTGAGTATGTGCCCTCAAGTCAAGTAGCATCTTGAGAGGAGCAGGATATGGAGAAGGAATGAACTAAGGTCCGGTTATTGCCTGATTTCCCTCTTTGCCTGCTGCACACCATGGGGAGGTAGGTCCTTCTCCCCTGCACAGGAGACCAGGTCTGGGAAACCTACCAACAATCCATGATGGAAATTGGAAAGGGAAGCTGATGTTTTGATTAAGCGAATATTTGAAATTATTTCATTCCAAAGAAAAATATCCCAATTAAAGTGCCAAGCATTCAGTATTCACAAACAGAAAACAGATGCAACATGTGTTCAGTTTGAAACTGACTTGGGAATGACTCTCCCGAAACTGAATGTGGACATATTTAAACAATATAATTCATAACAGAGCTCTAGAAGGGTTTCGAAGAGGAGACAAAGGAGTACTATACACACATTTAGCTATCCCTAGAGTATGGGCATGTACCGAATGTAATAAATATATGTCTGCTATTTAGCTCTGCAATTTCCACATGCTTTTTACGTGACTGCATTACTGATTACATAAGACACTAAAATCTTTTTTTAGGAATACATATAATGGTAGCGTTTTTAGAACCAAATTATAAAAATAATTAGCCAGTGGAAAAACTTTTTTTTCTACTTCTCAAGTTCAATATTTTCCTGAAAAAAATTTTCTGCTTCCTGATTTGGAAAATGAACTTGGAGCCAAGATTTACTTTCTCTTAGAAAGGAAACTTCAATAAAGTTTTGTCATTCTTTGATCCTTTTAGAAAAACGAGGCTTATTACTCTTCAGAAAACAAAATTCTCCGATAACTTCTTGCATTCCTTCGGTATAAACGTGGGAGTACAAGACAGGATCATAGTTAAAAAAAATTATTCTCAGGACTGCTAAATTCTAGCCAATCTTCCACCCAAGTGAATAAAAAGTTTTAGCAGGTCCATAAAATGCTTCCACATATTTCTAACCAGAAAGTTGATGGTGGATACCAGGTTGTAATGTTTTGCAGTTAATATTGTCATCAGTATTTTCCATATGTGTTTTTTTTTTTGTTGTTTTCCTTGATTTACCAAATGAGATTTCTCAAATTTTTAATGCGTTGTTTTAGCTATAGTCTTCACATTCAAAATAAATTTACAGAGAATCTATTCAACAAATATATATTGAATGCTTGCTATGTGGAAAACACTATGCTGTGCTGTTTTGAACTTTCCATTTGAATTAAACTTTTATATTGGTTAACTTATGTGTTAATTTCATAGACTGATTTTAGAAGCAAATTTTCAATTAGCTTTTCTTTATTCTAGTTCCTCACTAACCTACTTTACAATTGACTCTGTACCTGTGGCGTCGCAGTTGATAAAAAAGAGTGGGTTTAATACGGTGTATTATGCATCCAGTACAATTTTAAATTATTAATCTGATGCAAAAGTGGGGAATAAGATTAAAACGTTAAATAAAAGTGGAAATATATAGATATAGTATGTGACCTAAGACAATATAAGCATATATGTGACCAGCGAAGATATTATGATAGATTTCATTATTTGCCCCATTTCCCCCTCCCCACCCCACTTTCCCTCTATGCCATGCCATTTGGCAGTGCTCTCCCACAGTAGGCATACTTCTTATGGACTATTACTTAGGTTGTGTTTGATCTCTCCTTTTGGTTTGGTCATGTGAATTGCCTTGGTCAATAGAATGAGGCAGAAGGGATAGCGTGCTAGCTCCAAAGTTAAGCCTCAAGGGATCTTGCATATTTCCACTTTCTCTCTTGTGTTCCTGCCACCCATGAGAAAGATAAGCCCAGGCCTAGCCAGGTGCCAGAAAAAAGGAATTTAGACACATGGAAGTGGGTTGCCCCCACTAAAGTAGTCGAAGCAACCTATAGCTGGAGCCCAGCTCTTATCAGCTCTGTTAGTTTTCCAGGACTGCCATAACAGACTAGGGGGCTTCAACAACAGAAATTCGGTTTTTCACAGCCCTGAAGCCTGGAAGTCTGAGATCAAGGCTAGAAGTCTGGTAGGTTTGGTTTCTTCTGAGGCTTCTCTTCTTGGCTTGTAGCTTGTCTTTATGTTCACCTAGCATTCTCTTTTTAGCATTCCTCTTTTGTAAGAACACCAATCATACTGGATTAGGCCCACCATAATGACCTAATTTTAACTTAGTTACTTCTTTAAAGAGCCTTTCTCCAAATACAGTCACATTCTGAGGAACTAGGTGTTAGGACTTTGACATATCATTTTTGGGGGGATGCAAGTCAACCTGTGACATCAACCAAACTCAGCCTAGATCAGGCAATCCTCAGGTGTCAAAGAGATTCATCAGCTATAATAATAATAATAGATTAGCATTTTAAGGAAGTGAATTTTGGTGTGCTTTGTTTCAAAATATTAGCTTATCAGGGGCGCCCGGGTGGCTCAGTTGGTTGAGCGTCCGACTTTGGATCAGGTCATGATCTCACAGTTTGTGAGTTTGAGTCCCACATCAGACTCTTGGCAGTCAGCGCAGAGCCCATCTTGAATCCTCTGTCTCCCTCTCTCTCTGCCCCTCCCCCGCTCATTCTCTCTCTCTCTCTCTCTCTCTCTCTCTCTTTCTTTCTCAAAAATAAATAAATACATTAAAAAAATTAGCTAACCAGTACAACCTGCATGAAAAAAATTTAAATAATTATTGGTCATGAGATATGGGGTAAAAATATTTTAAGATTGTTGGGTCACCTAGGTGGCTCAGTTGGTTAAGCGTCAGACTTCGGCTCAGGATATGATTTCCTGAGTCTGAGATGTGCTGACAGCTCTGAGCCTGGAGCCTGTTTCAAATTCTGTCTCCCTCTCTCTCTCTGCCCCTCCCCCACTTGTGCTCTCTCTCTCTCTCTCTCTCTCTCTCTCAAAAATAAACATTAAAAAACTTAAAAAAAAAATGATTGTTGCTACATATTCTTTTAAATTGGCTGTATTTTTTTCTGTATATAAAGTAATACTTCTCCATTGTTATAAAAACAGAAAATATAGTAATACATAAAATATAAAAACAAGACTCAGTTGTAATGTGCCCCCTTCCCCATCATGGTAGAAAACCAATGTTAAATACCTTTTAATTACTTTCCTATTTACAAACACAAACATATCCATACATATTTTTACACATACATCCACACATATTTTTACAAAATCAAGTATTGTATTATACATATTTTAAACTGCTTTTACTTTTTTTTAATAAAATTTCCAAGGATAGTGTTCTGTTAATGTAAAGCTATATCATAATTTTAATGACTGCATAGTATACTCTTTTATCAATTACCAGAATTTGCTAACTTTTTATTGGCTATTATTTAGATTGCATTCATTTTTTAAAAAATTTTTTTAATGTTTATTTTTGAGAGAGACAGAGACAGAGTGTGAGGTGGGGAGGGGGCAGAGAAAGGGAGACAGATTCTGAAGCAGGCTCCAGGCTCTGAGCTGTCAGCACAGAGCTCGACTCAGGGCTCGAACTCATGGACCACAAGATCATGACCTAAGCTGAAGTCGGGCACTTAACCGAGTGAGCCACCCAGGCGCCCCTAGATTGACATTCATTTTTTATCATTATTTTATTGTTTTCATTAAAAATAAAAGATGCAATAATGTTTCTTTCTAAAATGCCTTGAGATTTGGGGTTAAAAAAATAAAATACATGTGGAGACTATTACTAACTATAAGTTACCATAGGTTTTTCTGCCAACTTTACATAGATGGCTTTAACAAAGTATAACGATGAAAATGTATTTGGCCTTGGTATAAAGGTCAGTGAATTTAAATAAGGAT